ATCGAATACGATTTCGGAGGAGAATTCGACAGTTAGAAGCTTTGTTAGTTTTTAATAAATAAAAAATCTTGTAATACTACATCACTGTTATGTTATTGTATGACGTCATAGATACACTCGGGTTCGGCCTTTCCCCCTTCAATTTTGCTTTCTCACTGTGGTGGGCGTGTTTACCAAATGGCATGATTTTCTTTTAGCCAATCACATTTGATCACATGATTGGTTTTTCCATGTTTTGCCGCGATTGAAGTATCGTCTGCTATTGTAAATAAATACAGGCCCTCCGAGCGCTCGGCTTCATTCTGTTGTTGCTGGATTCCAGATTACAGTCAAAGAGAAAGAAGTAGAAGAAGAAGAAGAAGAAGAAAAGAAGATCATGTCTGCTCATCGTCTATTTCATGAAAACCTGTATCTTATTCCAGGTATCCAGATCGAGTCAGTCATCATAGTGAGGAGAATCGATAATGGGAGAGAAATAATGAGGATTAATATGGCCAGAATGGAAGTTAATGACCGCCGGAGAAGTCATCATCCCTACCAGAGACCAGCACCCCGGTCGCCACCCCCACCACCACCACCCGGACCCGCTGCCCCACAGAGTTGCGCTCGTAACCAGGGCAGAGTTCCCCCCTGGGGCTTTTCCGTTCCTACCCAGCGGATAGTTTGTACATTATGTCTCAGCGACGATGAAGAGAATAATTACGTTTGTTCTCGTTGTTTGCAGAGACCATCTTGTCTTCTGTGTACCGCCAGACTCATTGACCGCCGGTTACCTTGCCCCTTATGTAGGAACTCGGAGACTGTAGTACAACCATTAGGAAGAAGACAGGAGTTTAGAGGGGCTGAGAGTTCAGATTTTGAGGAGGAGGAGGACATGGGAACCATGGTAGAACAATTGCTAAGAAACTAGGGATCGCACTTGAAACCAAAATGAAAAAAAAAATCCAAAAAAAAATTTAAAAACCAAAAAAAAAAAATCCAAAAAGTGTTTTTTAAACAACAGCCCTTTTAAGGGCTACCCAATTGTTTCGAAAAGATGCCTTCATATACAGGCAAAAAAGAAACGTTCAGTGTGTGTCTTAGAAAAAAAAATCTTTTTTTCTCTAAAATACAGTCAAAGAAACGATTGTATCTTAGAAAAAAGAGGATCTTTTTATACAGTCAAAAGAAAAAAACGTTTGTGTGTTTGTTCAAAAAAGAAAAGATTACCCTTGTACAGTCAAAAAAGAAACATTGTGTTTCTCTCAAGTTATAACACCAGGTCACTTTTTAAAAAAATGTTTATGTCTCCAAGTACGCCGTAATTTTCTATGTAAATAAGGCGGCCATTGTCGAATCTCGGCAAAGATTTTACCCCAGTGAAAAAGGCTTGTAATCTACCTTGTAGGTCGTTTAAAGTTGTTTCACATTGTTTATAATTGTGATTATGTTATCCCTCACCTATATGTTTGTCGAAAAAAGGAAACTTCAAATAAATATATAAACAATTTCGGACTCGTCAAGAAAGGTCTTAGATTTGGAAATCTAAATATATGTCACATCATGCCAAAAATTGATCAACTTAAAATTCTTTTATCAGGATATCGCTCTATGGATGTATTTGGTATCTGTGAAACATTTTTAAATGAACAAACAGACAACTGTGAGTTAGATGTTGAAGATTTAATTTTGAGAGGAAAGATAGGTTACTGAAATCAGGGGGAGGATTAATGGTCTATGTCTCCAAAAATTTATATTACAAACGTCGAAATGATTTTGAAATAGGTAATATTGAATCCATATGGCTTGAAATTAATATCCCTAATTCAAAACCACTTTTTTATTGTACCACATATAGGCCCCCATCTGCCACCACCTGCTGGGTAGAAAGTCTAACACGGGAGATAAATTGTGCATCCCGCTGTGACGATGCTGAAATTATTTTAACAGGTGACTTTAATATCGACCTGATTAAAGACCCCCCAAGGTACTGGACCTCTGCTTTTGAAGAATATGACTTCACACAGCTAATTAATGTACCTACACGAATTACAAACACCTCATCAACTCTTATTGACCATATTTATACGACCCTACCAGAAAACATATGTGAATCTGCAGTACCGTCAATTGCAATATCTGACCACTATCCTGTTTGTTTTACGAGAAAATTAAATAATAACACCAACAAATTCAAACACACAGAAATAACATACAGAGACTTTAAACGATTTAATGAACATAATTTTCTTGCAGACTTAAAGGAGGTTAATTTCCATTCATTGGAATTATTCTCTGACCCTAATGAAGCAATTAATAAATTTTATTCACTTTTTAATGAGGTATTAGATAAACACGCATAAGTAAAAACAAAAAGAGTTCAGCATGACACAAGACCTAAATGGTTAACTCAAGAAATTCTTCAAGCTCAGCACATGCGTGATACCCTCCATAAAAATAAAGACTTTGAAAATTTCAAAATATGGCGCAATAAAGTTACATCACTAATTGAAAACGCCAAGATTAGTTATTACAAAACAGCTATAGAACAAAACAAAAGTCCAAAACAAATGTGGGATGTACTAAACAATTTAGCCTCTAAATCTAATAATTATATACCAGCTGCACTTGCTAAAAATAATTATATCACAGAGGACACACAAGAAATAGTAGAAATGTTTAATTCTCATTTTTCAAATATTTCTACAGAACTTCTTTCAGGCATAAGTAAGGAGGAAAATGACTTGACAAATCTTTTAGATTTTGTTCAGTCTAAATTGGGAGCAGACAAGTTTTCTATCCCACTCATAAATCATGATGAAGTACTAGCTTTACTCAATAAACTAGATATTAGTAAATCTTCAGGTGTTGATACCATCGGGCCACGTTTATTGAGACTTACTTCACAGATAATACATAAACCTGTGACCCATATTATAAATACTAGTATCAAAACTGGTATTTTTCCCGATAGTTTTAAACTTGCAAAAGTTACCCCAGTCTATAAAAAAGGAAACAGATTAGATCCAAATAATTATAGGCCTATTTCTATTTTACCAACATTATCAAAAGTTATTGAAAAACATGTGGCAAAATATATACGATCTCTTTTTTCGGACTTTGATCTTATTGTAGACTCTCAATCAGGCTTCAGAGAACTACATTCATGCCAAACAGCCCTTACAAAAATAACAGATGAATGGTTAAATGAAATGGACCAAGGTAAACTTGTTGGTACTGTTTTTCTTGATTTCAGTAAAGCTTTTGACCTTGTCAATCATGATATTCTACTTAAAAAACTACAATGTTATAACTTTGACGCAATAACTTTACAATGGTTCAGATCATATTTAAGTGAAAGACTTCAAAGTGTACATCTGTCCAACAAACATTCATCTTATCAGCAAGTCACTGCGGGAGTTCCACAGGGATCTATTCTAGGTCCTCTTCTGTTTTTATTTTACATTAATGATCTTCCCTTATGTATTACAAAATCCAAATTAGACTTATTTGCAGATGATGATCAGAAATGCTCTTTTAACCCACGGACTCAATGCGGCCAAAAATACAGGTCTATTTGCTTTCAATCGAGGAGTCGCTTTACCCTTTAGAAAGAAGAAGAAAGGACAAACAGGTCAAGGAAGAAGAAGAAGAAGAAAAAGAAGAAAGCAGACAGGGAGAGGAAGAGTCCTGTTAGCCCGAGGGGGTCCTAAGAGAAAAAGGAAAAAACAAGGAGGAATTCCTAAAAGAAAACGTCATTTAGATGTGTTTGACTGAGAGAGAGTATAAATAAGACAGTCCAGGGAACAGAAGGTTCATTTGTGAAAACTGAATCCTAGTAGGCACATCATGTTACAGCCCGATTCCTGTGCGCGTGGGATGAACAATTTACAATTGTTCCAAGTCCCTCCGACTAAAATTGCTTTAGAAGACTCGAAATGGGAAGAATATTACCCCATTTCCAGTACTTTAGATTCGGACACCGCTCCGCAGCACTGTTAAGGCTTACTATAAGAAATCAACGGAAAATAAAAGTGCAAAAAAAGGGGAATTTTTAAAATTGAATTTATTTTTATTCAGCAATTCTATTATCACAGAACTTAAATACTTATGGAAATAGCATAGTATAACATACTCTGTTCTTTGTAGAGTTTGGTCCCATCGATGGACAGTCACGTGATAAACGCATAGCAGGTACACGGAATGTAGGTCAATAACAAATTTCAATATCGCAAGGGCATACCCTAATTGAAATTAAAAATTCAAGCTATTAATTGTTTCTGTGTACTTTGTAGTTTCTGAAAAGTGCTGCTGCTTTGAATAGAATTCGAGTTTTAATACTTAAATGTTTAAGTAAATAGGCCAATGTCGAAATATGTTAGAATTTTTCCAAATATTTTGTGTTCTTATAAAATCACGGCCTCGATTTAAAGAGAGCAGCAGCACTTTTCAAGTTAAGGAATTTATCCTTTATCTATATTTAAAAAATGGTTCAGATCTATGCAGTGTATGCCCTTGCGAAAGTACGATTTTATGGGGCACCTCGATGTAAAATATACGTAACCTGTACATAAAATACGACATAATTAATAAAATACATTCTCTTTGTAGTTAATTAATAATCGCACTAAACAAAGGCTATACCTTGGTATCATTCGACTATTTAAAATCTGTAAATAATATTCCGTTTTATAATAAAATACATGTTTCATTGATAAACAATTTCTCAATTTGCCTCTCACAGCACACTAAGTACGTCATTTTTACCAGTATGACGTCATGATTACAAGTTCATCGCAATGAGTGCTAGTTTTTGACCAGCTACAAGGGATTTAACTAGCAACTTTTTTTAATGCATTGATAAGTTATAATGTTGTTTATTATGCTAATACTGTTCAGCGTTGCAAATTATCCTATTTACACGTATTATGAGAACTACATAAATGTCATATTTTTGTGTGACGTCATAGTATACTTTTCCCGTATAAATTAGGCCCCGCCCCCTTATTCAAGCCTTAACAATGCTGCGTCCCATCGAATTTGAAATCAAAGGACAAGGAGATCACTATCTGGATTTATCTCAAACTTATCTTCAAATGGTATGTAAATTTACCAAAGACGATGGAAGTAATCTGACTGGGGCGAACAGCACTTCGAGTCCAGTGAATAATATCTTACATTCCATGTTTACGGAAATCGATCTCAGTTTGAATGGCAAAATAGTGACTCCGGGGACAGATACTTATCCTTACAAAGCTTATCTGGAGAAATTATTGTCTTACCGACCCAGAACTTTAAAGACACAGACGAGGGCCTGTAGTCTGTGGGAAAAAGATACAGCAGGACACATGGACGAAGTGGGAATAGATGACCTTGGTCTAGCTGCAAATAAAACCTTTAATGTAACTCCGGGTGTAAGTGGTGGGGCTGACACGGTGACCATTAACGAACCCATCCTCACAGCGCTACCGGCCAATTCTAAAAACGAAGGATTCCGAAAAAGACACCAAGCTATTGCTGACAGTAAGAAAATCAGTTTGCTGGATACTTTACATTTGGATTTGTTTCAACAAGATCGATTTCTACCCAATGGAGTAGACGTCCGTTTGCGATTCAATCGAGCTAGACCCTCTTTCTACATGATGATCAAAGGAGGAAGTACAGGAAAAGTGAAAATATTGAGTATGATCTTGTGGGTGAGAAAAGTCAAACCCACGGCAGTCATGATGAATACCATTAATCAAAGTTTGAACACCCACAGAGCCAAATATCCCCTGAGAAGAGTGGAAGTGAAAACCTTTACCATCCCCATAGGGACCAGTCTAAGATTACGGATCATCTGTTTCAAGGTCAGATGCCTAAACGTCTCATTTTAGGTTTTGTGGAGAATGCGGCCTTTAACGGAGATAAAACTAAAAATCCCTTTCATTTCCAAAACTTTGGGATTAAGAAATTAGATGTCAGTATCAACGGAGAGACCATGAGTACTCGTTGTTTTGAACCTCATTTCAACGAGGATTTATATCTGAGATCCTATCTCAGTCTGTATCAAGCTCTGGGAAAATTAGGAGAAGATTAGGCTCCGGACATTACCCTAGAAGAGTATAAAAGCGGCTACACTCTATGGGGGTGGGATTTCACTAAAGATCAAGAGGCGCAATCGGATAAATTCCACATCATAGAAACAGGAAATCTGAGAGTAGAAGTGCAGTTTACCAACAATACGGCTACCACCATCAATTGTGTGGTGTATGCAGAATTCGATAACTTATTAGAAATTAACAGAGAGAAGTGAGCATTGATTACTAAAAAATGGATACGGGACAATTGAGAGAAGTCTTATCCAGAGAATTCAAGAGTTCTTTTGGAGGCGTGTATCCTGTAGATTTATTACCGGATCAATTAAGACCTGGCGAAAAAGCTGTCGTGGTCAATACGGATCCTCAAGATCGACCTGGAGAACATTGGGTGTGTCTGTATGTGAGCAATCCCGTGGTGGAATATTTCGATTCTTATGGATTTCCTCCCTTACAAAAAGAAATTCAAGATTTTATCCAGCGTCATGCTCAACAATGGACTTATAATCCGTATCGCTATCAAGACTGGAATACCGATGTGTGTGGACAATATTGCGTGTATTATTTACATCAAAGAGACAAGAAAAGAAAGAAAACCGACGAGTGGCTATTCCCCTTTGACCAGAGTACGGCTTTACAAAGGGACAGATATGTGGCGAATTGGTTTAAAAACACTTATCATAAATTACCTACGGGTCATGGACAAAAGTGTCAATGTTTTTATCAAAATGTATTGTAAATGCATTGTTTGTTGTTTGTTGGTTGTTGTTTGTTGTTAATAAAGAATGAAAAAAAAAATCTGTGTTCTTATTCTTTATGTGTAAGTAAAAAATCCAGTTTGAACTGGTTAGCCTAGACTGTCTCGACTGTGAAGCGTGACGTCATAATCTTGAATCGGTGCCAAGTATTACCTGTGTAGTCAGCAAAACGTAGATAAAACGTATGTTTTTGCACACGGACCCCTGATTTGAATCGCTGCCAAGTATTTACCTGTGTAGTCAGCATAAAATAAAAAAAAACGTAGGTAAAACGTGCACAGGCCCCGCCCCCCACAGCAGGTATATAAAGCGGAGCTGGGAGTACCCTGCACTCATTATTTAGCAAGCGAATTCCAAGAATATTAGACATGGAGATGGATAAAGATAAATTTGCCTTATTAGAAAAGAGAATGACGGAACCTATGGAGGGGGATCACGAAGCTCCTCAAAAAAAAAGAAGAATGGTGTTGAAAACCTTGGATCCGGAACCTAAGAATGAATATTTACCCCTGAATGAGCCTGTGAAGGATCCTAAATGTCCAATATGCCACCCGGAGACCTGGGAACCTACGGAGGGGGGATCACAAAGCTCTTCAACAAAGAAGAATGGAGTTGAAAACCTTGGATCCAGAACCTAAGAATGAATATTTACCCCTGCATGAGCCTGTGAAGGATCCTAATGATCCAGACAGAAGTTACCCGATAGCCATTAATTGGACTTTCATCATGAAAGAGCCCAAAGAAGAAGAAGATATAGATATGTTTCTGAGCAACCAAGACGATTTCTTCTTTGGTTTCCAGTTTTTGATTATACAAAAGGAAAGACATCCCTGGACAGGAGAACTGCATCAAATCAGGGGATTCATTCAAATGAAGGAACCAGAAGGAGGGCTGACTATGTGCAGACTTCATATCGCTGCCAATTTGGCCATGTCTCACAGTACCCCAGAATTGGAAAGTATGTTTTACAAGCAAGGAGGTGACTATGAAGAATATGGGGTTCTGAAACCTGAGGAGAGAAATAAGGAATTGGAGCCCAGAGATTGGATAGAATGGGAAATAGGAGCTTGGAAGAAACCTGAAGCTATTGAAGCCAGAGAAGCTAGGAAGAAAAAGTTCTTAAAGGATGTGAGCTGGTCAAGATGTGAATAAAAAAGATTGAACTGTTAATTATTGTTAGATCTCAATAAAAAGAAAAGAAAAACTGTTGGGTTTTTTGTCATTTTTAAAAATAGGTTATCTCCCTTTAACCGTAGATTTTTTTTTTCAAAACACCAAAACAAAATGGTAAGGGATTTTAAAGATTGGGGGAAAAAAAGTATAAATAGGAAACATGGTACAAAACACACCTCAGTTGTGGACTGGCTTCATTATGGGGAACACCTCCAGTAAAGAAAAGAGTCAGAACACTAGATTAGAGGAAACTGAATGGTTACTTATACAGGAGGGAGGAAAAGATATCATACCACCTCCCTTGATGGTAGAACATCCTGCAGTATTTATACCACCTCCCTTGATGGAAGAACATCCTGTAGAATTTATACCTCAGGAGACAGGCAATGGTTACATTTCTTACTTAAAACAAGACAGAGGTAGAATAGCCAATAATTGGATATTTAATTTAACTGGGTGCCGACAGGAAGATGTAGATCAAATCATTGGAAGTGATTATCAATACTTGATCTTACAAAAAGAAAGGCATCCAGAAACTGGACAACTTCATCATGTGAGAGGATTCATTCAAATGAAAAACAGGGTTCAAGGGAGATACATGTACAGAAAGATTCATAAATTAACCTGTTTTGAGATGTCTTACAGCACCCCAGAATTGGAAAGAACCTTTTATAGACAAGGTGACTATGAAGAATATGGAGTTCTAAAACCTGATGTGAGAAACAAAGAATTAGTTCCAAGAGATTGTAGATTTACCTGAATAAAAAAAAAAACTTGTTTTTTAAAAAAATTCTTGTTGTTGTTCTATAAAAACAAGGGTGTTTTAAAAAATAGATTCATTTTACATCATGAGTCTCCAGGAGATACAAGGTGATTTACTTCACTGTGAGGTAGAAGCTATTGTTCATCAATGTAATTGTTTAACTGTAAAAGCTCATGGATTGAGTCAAAGTCTGGCAGAGAAATTCCCACAAGCTAATCTCTATGCCACTCGCAGACCTCTAGGGACTAGAAATTTAGCCGTAGAAGAAGATAGAGGAATTCCAGGCACTATTAAGGTGTTTCCCTCACAAACCCCTGTGGTCATTTGTTTACTAGCTCAATGGGATTATGGAAAAGCAAGTCACCGACCTAAAAGAATTTCCACTTATCAGGATACCCCACAAAACAGAGAGCAATGGTTTCAAGCCTGTTTACAAGAAATGGGGGAAAGTTTACCTTACCAGACTTATGCTTTTCCTTACAAGATTGCCTGTGGACTAGCCCAAGGAAATTGGATTCATTATAGACATTATATTGAACAATTTGTACACACTTATGAAAAACATGTGTACATTCTTCATCATCATTAATTGTATGTTTTTCATGTGATGTAAAAAATAAAGAAGAAAAAAAAAGTACCTTTTTATCTGTCATACTCTAAAGTCTGTTTTAAACTTGAGGTCCACCGCAATCCCCATGCACTCATAAGCAGATCTCTGGGGGGCAGTAGAAACACTCAAGTAGTTTTTTTCTTTTTCCCCTGTGATATAATGTCAAATAGTTAATGGAAAATTCAGAAATTCATCAGCACTTAAAGATAAAAAAAAACTTGCTATCTTTATGATATTGATTTCCATTATCAGATTTATTATTTTATCCATTTTTAAAAATATAAACATTTTAAATAATTATCTTACTAATAAAACTAATAAATTAAAATGATATCTCATTTGAAAACTTTTTTTGTTTTTTATCATAATTGATTCACTGTGTATTTCCCCAAAGGAAGACCAGCACCCAGGCTTCACTTCACTTAGAGAATGGATTGGTTAGGAACAAAACATATCTTCCAGGTTGAGGACTGTATAGAAAAATAAAACCCATTTTTTGTTATTATGATTTAAATTACATGAGACCAGGCCTCTTATAAATGTAAGGCAAAAATAATATCTCTTATATATATATATGGATTCCTATACTCTAATCATATTAAATGTCATTTGTAAAATGTATTTTTTTTTAAAAGACAGATTTATTTTAGGATAGACTTTTAAATGATGACATGAATAGCAGGCCATACTTTCAGCACATGACAAAACATTATCTCAAATTACGCAGAAATGGGTTATTTAGCATAGCTGACATTAAACATATAGGTGAGGGATAACATAATCACAATTATAAACAATGTGAAACAACTTTAAACGACCTACAAGGTATATTACAAACCTTTTTCACTGGGGTAAAATCCTTGACGAGATTCGACAATGGCCGCCTGCAGGCCATACTTTCAGCACATGACAAAACATTATCTCAAATTACGCAGAAATGGGTTATTTAGCATAGCTGACATTAAACATAATAATAATAATAATAATAATAATAATTCTTTATTTAAAGAAGGTAGCCCGATTAGTGCACGCACTATTCTTCCCCGGGGCCTTCTATAGGCAAAATATCAACATACATACATACATATATATAAATATACAAAATCAATAAATAATCATAAGCTATTTCTACATTGTTTTACCAATTTTTTGACTTGATGCTTGAAAGCATTGAGTGTTTGAGACATTCTTATATGTACAGGTAAATTATTCCATAAGATAGCACCAGAGTATTGAAAGGAGTTCTCAAAGAGTTTACATTTATGAGATGGTACACAGAGGTCTAAATTAGATTCAGATCGAAGATTGTATCGATTATTACACTGGAAGTCAAACATACTATTTAGATAAGTAGGGTGAGAGTTGGACAATGATTTATATAACAAAACATATTTATTTACAATAAGTAGCTCATACACTGTGAGCCAATCTAGTTTCTCAAAGAGAGGTTGTGAGGGCGCATCAGGAGGAGCATCTAAAATACATCTTGCAGCGCGTTTTTGAAGTTTATATACTCTGTCAAGATTTGAGTGAGATGTATTACCCCAAACAGTTAAACAATAATCAATTGAAGGCATAATATATGCATTGTAAAACAGCTTGCGTGTTTGAATAGGGAGAAATTTTTTAATTCTACGGAGGGCAGAAATTTTACGTGACAGTGTTTTACAAACATGGTCAATGTGTACATTGTATTGT